TTTAAATAACAGGTTGTTGAAGAATTTGATAAGGTTAATCAACCTTCAATTTATTGAAAACTAGACAAGTTTAATTGCTTGATGCAAATTTTGGTTTGATTTTTTCTGCATCAATTCTAAATTGAAACTTCATCTATTTCAAAACACATTATTTTATTTACAATTTACTGAATTATTTACAAGTTGTAATTTACATCTTTTTCGATTTGGTAATCTTCTTTGTTGTGGTGGTTGATTGTTGTTTAGCTCTCTTTTCAATTGAATTTTTAGAAGATCTTTTCACTGAAATTTGTTTACCATTTAAATTTGCATGATGATAATCAATATTATTACGATGTCTAGTTCCACTTATAATATTTGAAGTATCAATATCAAATAATGGTAATCTTTTAGTTAAATCAATTGGTTTAGATCTTGACCAGACTGTTTTTGTTGGAATTCTATCTTCGGAAGAATTTGATGAAGTATTTCTAGCTGGCATTTTGCTCTTAGTGTTTGTTATTTAGTTATTTTGTTTTGTTGTGGAAATATCATCATCCGATCAGTTATCTATTTATTTACAAGATGATTTCCACTAATTTTGTGATTCCGATTTTTAGTGCATCACAAGAATTTGAATTTTTCTATTAATATTTTGATGAAAGGAAATTTAATACAAATCAACAAAACAAATTGAAGAGAAAATGAGAAACAAACAATTCAAAATGTGGTAAATCCTTTTAACTCCAATTTTGTAAACCTAAAGGCCTCCTGTAGATTTTTCTAAGACAAAAAGATTTCAGCACCACAGGTTCCCAAGTTGTCTCCAACCTCAGTACTGATGTGGCTCGACGATGCTTAACTTCTCAAATCGGACGGGATGAGGTGCATTCATCGTGATATGGCCGTAGCCATCATTGTTATTAAAATATGAAATTTCAATCAAAAGAGATTCGGGACCTAGTAGCAAAAGGACCGTTTTTATCTCCACCGAACAAATGATATTCAAGTAAATGAAATTAATATTTTAATAAATTGTTTTAGGTATTATTTGATCTGGGACGAAAGTGAACGAATTACATTATTTTTGTAATTTGAAATTTAAATACTATTCACAATTTAATAATAGTGAATGAACTTTCTCATTTCATTATAATTTGAATATCTAGAATAATTGATTATCATTGGTTCTAGTCGCCATTTGTGAGAAATGTAATACACAATCAGAATTTGGTTTACCAAAAGGAATTCTTGATTCAATGTTTGTATCAATTACACCAGTTTCGTCCACTTTCATTTGAATATCAAAGAAGAATCTTCTATTAGAAAGTGTCAAAATTAATGGAATAATTACAAATTCACCTTTCTTCAATTCCAAAAGTAAATCTCCTGCAATAGGATTGTGAAAAATCAATTCAAATCTTGTCAATTGATACAAAACTGGATGAGATTCATTAATTTCCAAATTATAGAAATTTGGAGTTGTAAATTCAAATTTGTGAGTTTTTAATTCCAATTCCAAAATTGTTCCACTAATTCTTTGACATAACGTCACATGCTGTGAAATCTATTTTCGTCATACAATTGATAGGATCGGAATTTTGATCGCAACAATAAATTTCTGCATTGTAATTTGATTTTTCCATTGGTGATGAAGAAAGGATGTACAGTTGGAAGAGTACTTGCATTCGAAACAAGATCAGTTTCGGCTACCACATTCGTGTTG